CCTGAGGCTCATGCCAAACCACGTTGGCGAAAGAGTTCGAGAGTTTCCAAAGACAGATGTCTTTTTGTGACTTTCTCTCAGTGTTCCTGGCATAATCACAGAGGTGCTGAACCAGCTGGTAGTGGTTAGCTGGTAGTCCCATTTAAAATTTTTTTGAGAGATCTTTATCTTTTTAATTTATTTTTATCATGGTTACATTGGCTTACAAGAGTTAAGACTCTAAGTTTCAGGATTCTGACGCCCATTGTTAGAGTGTCAGTACCAACCACACACACACGCACGCGCACACACACACACACACACACACACACACACACTGCCCATGGGACTGTCTTCCCCATCTGCCTCTCCCTGCTTGGAAACCTCAGTTCTGGGTCAGTCTCAAGCATTTGTTTCACTGATCATTGTCTGTTCCCTTGCTTTCTCTATGAGTGAGTGAGACCATCCAGTCTTTCTCCTTCTGACTTATTTGGCTTCATATGATGTCTTCCATATCCCTGTGTCTGGGACACGCACAGACTCGCTTTACTCCGTCCTTGCAGCTGACTCTATCCCCGTGTCTACAGAACACAATTTCTGGTCTGCCACTGGGCTCTTGGGGGCTATCACAGTGGCACAGCCAGTGTAGGTGTGCGTGAATGTTTCTGAATCTGTGCTCCATTGTTCTTGGGGAACATCTAGGGCTGGCATTTCTGGGCCATCCAGAAGTTGTGTTTTGATTCTTCAAGATATGTCCACAGTATTCTTCACAGAGACCATAGTGCCCGTCCACAGCCCCGACCACAGAGAACACAGGAAGGAACCTTTTCTTCTCCCCAATCCCAGTGCCCACAGTCCCCCTTCCCGCCTCCTCACAATCACTTGTCTCTTGCCTTTTGGGTAAAAGCCAGCTGGTAGGAGGTGACACTGTCTTAGTGGGCAAGTGACTTCCGGCTTTGGTGACCATCTTACTAGGCTGTTGGTCCTTTATCCATCTCCTTTACAAAAAAAAAGGTCTATTTTCAGTCTGTGCCCATGTTTCTTTCTGGAGGGGTGGGAGTTGGGGGATGCATACTCAGCACACTCTGTGCTCAGGGATCATTCCTGGCAGGGCTGGAGATCAAACCCAGCTTGGCCATGAACAAGGCAAGTGCACTCTCCTATTGTTCCCGCCCCTGTGTCTCCTTGTAAATGGATTTCCTTCTCTTGCATGGGTTGTGTGAGTTCTCTCTCTCTCTCTCTCTCTCTCTCTCTCTCTCTCTTTCTCACACACACACACACAGAGTATTACTGTGTCAGCACTTGGGCTGACATATCCTCTCTCCTGTTCCGTAGTCTGGCTCTCCCCTTGGTGGATGGTTTCTGTGGCCCCGTAGAAGCTTTGTCATGGAGTGTCATTTCCATAGATGTCTTTCCCCAGTACTGGTGGGACCTCTGGTCAATCTGGAGAGTCTTGAGGGCACAGCTGGAGCAGGCCACAGCTTTAGACATGGAACTGACTGGTTCTATCCTTCACCACAATCTCAGAATGGATTCTCCACCGCAAATTCCCTCTGCGGGAAATAGTCACAGGGTCATCAGGTGGGGGCCTGCCGACATCTACCTTTGCGTGTTAGAGTGAGTGAAGGCCTCAGCAGGTCCTAACCCTCAACTAATTTTTTAATTTACTATTTTTTTTTTGTGGCTGGAGTGATAGCACAGTGGTAGGGCGTTTGCCTTCCGCGCAACCAGCCCAGCCGAGCCGGGTTTGATTCCTCTGCCCCTCTCAGAGAGCCTGGCAAGCTACCGAGAATATTCAATATGCCAAATACAGTAACAAGAAGTCTCACAATGGAGACATTACTGGGCTCGCTCGAGCAAATCGATGAACAACGGGAGGACAGTGTTTGTGTTTATTTTTTTTTAAATGTAGGCATACTGTTGTTTATTCAGCCACTAATTAAGCTGACTCAGCTCCTGGGAGAGAACAAGACAGAGTCTCCTACCCTATGCCTGACTGTCTCCACCAGGGCCCAACAGCTGAAGACCATCGAGGCCCAGCCAAGGCCATGCTGGGAGCACTCTCCACACACTTGGATGAGCCTCACGCATAAAAGAACTGACAGAGGAACCCAGGTGTGTGGGACCCGGGGCTGAGATCTCCAAGCCTGCACAGTTTGGGACTGGACCTGCCAGAGTTACTGGCAGTTACACCCACCAACTGCTGTGTAACTCCAACAACGGCCAGGATCCAGAGATCATCACACTCAGCTCCTGGGAGAGAACAAGACAGAGTCTCCTACCCTATGCCTGACTGTCTCCACCAGGGCCCAACAGCTGAAGACCATCGAGGCCCAGCCAAGGCCATGCTGGGAGCACTCTCCACACACTTGGATGAGCCTCACGCATAAAAGAACTGACAGAGGAACCCAGGTGTGTGGGACCCGGGGCTGAGATCTCCAAGCCTGCACAGTTTGGGACTGGACCTGCCAGAGTTACTGGCAGTTACACCCACCAACTGCCGTGTAACTCCAACAACGGCCAGGATCCAGAGATCATCACACTCAGCTCCTGGAAGTGACATCTTATCATCTCATTCCTAATTTGGTCAAACTGGCAGGCTACCAAATGTAACATGCCCACACGGCAGAGTCTGGCAAACTCCCCGTGGTATACCCAATATGCCAAATACCAGTAACAATGATGGGTCTCATTCTCCTAACCCTGAAAAAGCCTTGAATATGGCACTTTAAAAAAAAAAATCTCAGGGCTAGGACGAAGAAGACGTTACTGGCACCTGCTCGAGGCAATCGACGAACAACAGGGTGGTCGTGATCGTGATCGTGAATTAAGCTGACTAAAGCTGGCATGAACTCCAGATAATTTTTTTAAATTCTGTATTGAATATCCATGAGATAAATCATTGCAAAACTGTTTATGACTGGGTTTCTATCATACAATGATCCAACACCCATCCCTCCACCAGAGTACATTTCCCACCACCAAAGTTCCCATTTCCCTCTCACCATCCCCCAATATCCCTCCACTCCCGCCTGCCTCTAGGGCAGGCACTTTTCTTCTTTCTCTCTCCTTTTGATAACTGTGCTTTGCAATATAGGTACTTAGAGGTCATCGTGTTTGAACCCTGAACTAATTTAGAATGAGAGCACTGGCCTCAGGGAGCCAGCATTAGAATGAGGGAGGCCAGGCCTCAAGGAGCCCTCGGCTCTGCAGGTTCTTCTGGTGTCCTCGCGGACCTTCACTCCTGGTCTCCTGACACAGCGGTTGAGCTCTGCTGTGGTCAGCCAGCATCAGTACTGACCCATGGTCCTTTGTGCAGCCTTTGGCCACTGGTCTCGCACCCTCTTCTCATTGCCCTGCCCAGAGATTCTTGCCCTGCCGTCCTCCCCAGGCCCACCGACCATTTCTGCTGACAGGCATTCTGGCTTTCGCAATGTTTTGGACTCTTGACTGTCTGTTTTCTGACCCCTCAGCCCCCACCGGCATGCCCAGGGCTTCTCCCAGCCTGTGCTCACAGCACTTGGGCTGGACGGGTGGAAGCAGGTTCCTGTTTGAGTTCTCTTGATGCCCTGTTGTTCTTTCCAAGGTGCCCTCTAGAACATTCTGATACAGGTGCCAGGATCTGGAGTGGGGGAGGGGAGTAGCTGGGGACTTTGGGGCCAGGGGCACGGGCGCCTTCAGCCTGACTGAGTTTGCCCCGTTGTCCCCATTTCCTCCAGGAGCTGGGCGTTCTCTCCCAGCCGCGCTGCTGCCAGGTGCAGGGTGCAGAGCTGCCTGTCTGTGTGTCTGACTGTCCACCTGTCTTCTCTCTTGCAGAATGCATGGGAGGCTCTGCCTCTCAGTGGACCCCCGCCCCGCACCTCCCCCACTGACTCTGGAGATGGAAGTGGGGGGGTCTTGGGAGGTGGGAGCTAGGCTTGTGGCTTTCACTAGCCCTAGGGGTGGCTCTTGGACCGAGAGCTCAGCACCAGCAAAGCTTACCCTGGGTCTCAAGCTGCCGGAAACTTCTAGGGCGGAGGTTGCTGCTGTGGACCCCATCCCTGCGAGTGGCCAGCCCTGCGGAGTGGCCAGCCCTGGGCGGAGGAGGGATCTGCCAGCCCCAGCGTGAGGCAAAGAGCAGACATTCACTTGGCAGGCACCGGCACCGGGGCCCATGCAGAACTGCATTTCCCAGGAGCGGCTAAGACACTCCCCGCTAGCTGGCCCTCTGCAGGGTAACTGTGTGCCCAGCGCGGGACGGTGCCGGTGGCGTGATTCTGCGCCTGGCGCTGGGCACTGCCGACCCCCCTCTCCGAGAGGAAATAAACTGGCGGGCCGGAAGGGAAGGGAGAGGCCCAGTGCTGATTACCCTCGGCCGATTCCGTTTTCTTTTCGACAAGACGCTCCTCGAAGGACAACGGCCTTCCCGTCCAGGCTCTGCCCCTGCCCCGTCTCCTGACCACCAGCTGACCCACTCCCCTTCCCCTGGCGAGGACCACAAGGCTGCATCCCCGAGGCTTTCTGCGTCCCGGCTGCCAGTGGACAGCGGCCTGCAGGGACCTTCACCTGCCTGGGCTTTAGAGGTCGGGACCCTGGTTCCGGGCAGTTGGCTGGGCAGTAGACGCTGGCCTGCACGCTCGGGGAGGGTGGCCAGCGCGAGGACAGACGGTGAAGCGCAGCCCTGGTGCCGGCCAGGGCCCCCCAGGAGGCGGTCGGGGTCGCCGCCGGCCTCCGCGCGCCCCCTGCCGTCCGCTCCGGGCACTGCCCAGAAACCACGTGTAAGAAAGTGCTTACAACCTAACTACGCACTCGGGGCCGGGCCCGCCGCAGCCAATCAGGAGCGCGGAGGCGGGGCGGGGGGCGGCGGGGAGCCAATGGGCGGCCGCCCTCCGGGAAGGGCGGGGCCCGGGCCGCTCCAGGTTGGGTTTGTCCGCAGCGCTAATTGCTTTTCCGAAGCCCCGCGAGCCGCACTCGGGCTGGCGCCGCCGCCTCGCGCGCTCCTGCTCCCCGCGGCGGCCGGCCGGGCTGCCCTGCGCGGGACCATGCGCGGCGGCGCCCTGCTGCTGCTGCTGCTGGCCTGGGGCCCCGCGCCGGGCCCCGCGCCGGCCCCGCGCGCCCGCTCCCCCGCCGCCGAGCGCGACGCGGCGGCCGACGTGGAGGTGGTGCTGCCGCGGAGGCTGCGCGCCCGGCGCCCCCGCGCGCCCCCGGCCGGGCCCCGCGTGCGCCCCGGCGAGCGCGCGCTGCTCCTGCACCTGCCGGCCTTCGGGCGCGACCTGTACCTGCAGCTGCGCCGCGACCTGCGCTTCCTGTCCCGCGGCTTCCAGGTGGAGGAGGCGGGCGCGGGGGGCCGCCGCGGACTCCCGGCCGCGCTCTGCTTCTACTCGGGCCGCGTGCTCGGCCACCCCGGCTCGCTGGTCTCGCTCAGCGCCTGCGGCGCCGCCGGCGGCCTGGTACTGCCCCGGGCCGGAGGCGGGGTGGGGGAGGGAGGGTGGGGAAGGGAGGGGGCGGGAGCTGCCAGTCCCACCTCCCCGGGGGGTGCATCGCGAGCTGCGCTGCCCGAGTGCAGTCAGAATGGGCGCCCGGGCTGGGGCTCCCGAAGGTGCTGGTCAGAGCCGCCTGGAGCGGCCGGGCAGGTGCCCCCGGGCCGGGGGACTTTTGCTGGGACACTCCGTGGTCTTGCTCAGGTTCCAGGGCTCAGCTTTGCAGATGTCCTTTCCAGCTGCTGCGTGCTGGCCTGGCCGGCCAGGGGCACCCTCGGATGCCTAATGAGCCGTGTCCGGCCCCCAGCCCCCAGCCCCCAGCACCCAGCACCCAGCACCCGCGGCTGGCCCCTGGCCCCTCTGAGCATGAAAGCCAGTAGTTTCTCTGCCTTGTCTTGCCTGGCCTCAGCCGATACTGTGTCTGTGTCTGTTCTTGTCAGATTGAAGAAACTGCCCCCCACCCATCCCCGCCCTTCTGGAATCTGGTTCTGCCTTCTAGAACCCTTTAGCCCTTAGCCTGTAAGCTGGTCACCCTGAGAGCCAGAGGAGCTGGAAGTGCAGAGACCAAGTGTTCCCAGCACCCCCCACCCCCCACCCCAGGGGGAGTTTCTTAGGCTGGGCCCCACCTGTCTGCCTTCCTTCTTACCCTACGAATGCGGTGAAGGAGTGTCCTGGCCCAGCTGGGAGAGATTGGCTTGGGGTGGGGGCTGCAGAGAACAAGTCCACCTCAGGGCCTAGGAGCTGCCCGAGCAGCGCGGACAGATCCCGGATCCTGAGGATCTGGAAGGCGCTCATCATTCTTCCTGTTTTTGCCAGAGTGTTTAAAGTCCAGGTCACATCACTGTACTGTATGGGAACATCTGAATCCCATTTGCTGCGGTTTCGTGAGTTTGGGGAGAGGTCAGAGTTTATACTTGTTGGTGTAAGGTTTCCAGAGAGGTGCTGTCTGCGGGAGATTGATCTGAGCCCCGAGGAGCGCTGACAGCTGTGACCCTGGGTCTGTCCCGCCTGGCACCATGTGAGGGCGCTGTGCTTTAGATAAAGGAGCCCGGCCAAGAGGCGGCGTCAGCTAGTGCCAGCCGCCGCTGTGGTCCGCCAAGCCGCCAGATGTGGGGCTCCTGCTTGAGCCGACACTCCTCTTGTTTCGGCTGCTCCATCCTGTTCATGGGAGCTGGGCCCTGGACGCTCTCCCACTGGGCCCTGGACGCTCTCCCGCAGCTGGATGGGCCTATAGTGGACTCTGGGCACCCAGGGGGGCATGTGCAGCACCAAGGAAAGAGGGGGTGGAGGCTTTCTATGTGGGCTTGGCTGTGCCTGGTGTGGACGGGGCACGCGGGTTCCCCTAGACTGCAGAAAAAAGGAGCACGCAGGGGTTTGTGCAGGCCACTGATATGTGTGTGCAGGCCCAGTGACATATGAGCGTGTGCAGGCCCAGTAACACGTGTGTCCACAGGCCCAGTGACACCTGTGTGTGGAGGCCCAGTGACACGTGTGTGCAGATTCAGTGACACATGTGTGCGTGCGGGCCCAGTGGCACGTGTGCGTGTGCAGGCCCAGTGACACATGTGTGGATTCCCAGTGACTAGTGTGTGTGCAGGCCCAGTGACACCTGTGTGTGCAGGCTCAGTGACACGTGTGCGTGTGCAGACTCAGTGAGGTGTGTGTGTGCAGTCCCAGTGACACGTGTGTGCAGGCCCAGTGGCGCATGTGCGTGTGCAGACCCAGTGACACGTATGTGTGTGCAGGCCCAATGACATGTGTGTGCAGACTCAGTGACACGTGTGCGTGTGCAGACTCAGTGACACGTGTGCATGTGCAGGCCCAGTAACGTGTGTGGAGGCCCAGTGACACGTGCGTGTGCAGGCCCAGTGACACGTGTGTGTACAGGTTCACAGGTGGTATGTGTGCATGCCCGGGGAGCGGTCGGGTTTGGGGTCGGGCACGTGTGCCCTCAGTTTCCTGCAGAGAAACCAGGCCTTCTCTGTGGAGGACCCGAGAATGACTGCTGAGGTGACGCCAGCGGCAGGGACGGGGCGTGAGGGGCACGCTGCTCTTGCTCTGCCTGGGGAGCAGTGAGTCTTTGCGGCATCCACAGCACCTGCAGCCCCAAAGCGGCCTCTCTCCTGCTGGGTGGGACCGGGCGCCCTCTGTCTGTCTGGGAGTGCTCAGTATCTAGGGAGCTGCCTGAAGGCTGGAAGCATCACCCTTCCACACAAAGCTCCTGACCTCCCTCAGCATGGCTTTGGGGATGGCCCCCCCCAGAGTCCATCCCTTGTAGTTTGTGGGTCACCACACCCCATTTCATGGCCCTCCCTTACCAGGGACCCTTCAGAGACCACCAGGGACTAATCATTTTCTGTTCACACTGCTCTGTTCGATTAGCATTTCTGCAACCCTGCTGACACCATGAGGCCTGAGAGACCCAGTCACTATTCCCCAGTGGGAGTCGGGGGGACAGGGAGCTTCACTGCCCCCAGCAGTGATCCACTGGGGACTCAGCCTGGGAGCCCAGGGCTGCCCTGAGGGGCCCAAGGTGCAGAGCTGGCACCGACGGGCAGAGAGAGCTGGACCTGCCAGGGCGATGTGAGCCCCCAGCTGGGACTGTGGCTGGGGTACCTGCAGGGAAGGGGGGGCTGTTTGTCCCCCACACAGAGAGAGAAGAGGGCTTCTCTGTGGCAGCCGGGGAGGACCGAGCCCTGGGTGGTGGGGCACTGTGGAGCTGTGCCGGAGTCCCGGAGTCCCCGGAGGGATGGCGTGAAGGCCAAGAGACCCCATGGGTCTCCTGGGACCTGTGCTGGGTAGGTGGCTGGGCCTAGGGCCTGGGCCCAGGGCTGCCCAGCCATTCGCCATGTGGGGAGAAATGGACTGAGGGGTCTGAGCATGACCAGGACTAGGGCCTGGGGTGGGGAGTCTGTCCTGGGTGTGGGGGTTGGGGGCTGGGTGGGTGAGTCTGTCGGCGGGGGTTTGGGAGCTGGGGTGGGGAGTCTTCCCAGAACCTTCCAAATGTCCCTTGATCATTTTCCACATGACGATGAGATGTGCCAGGGTCCCCCTCACCCCCGCGACTCCTGCATGGACCTTCCCCATGGCTAGGAGAGTGAGTCCCGATTGGGGGTGTAGGGTCAGCCGCTGGACCAGCAACCCTCAAAGTAGGTACCGGCTGAGGCGAGTTCCTGCGTCTGTGGCAGAGCCCGCTCTGTGGTGTGTCTCCGGCCCCCTCTCAGGCCAGGTGCTTTGGAAGCCTCCACCTGTGTGTGCCAGAGGCCTGCTTCTCCCCGAGCTTCCTGAGTGCTCCCTAGTGCTCCCCCGTGCCTCCTGGGAGGCCTCAGAGGGGCCTTCTGGGGGAGGGTGACCACCACTGACTAGGAGATACACGCAAGTCTAGGGCCAGGCCCAGCGCTGAAGGGCCTTGTGGGGGCCTCGTCTGCCACTCGCCAGGAGCCAGTGCAGTGCCCCGGCCCCCTTCTGGCTGGAGGAAGGCTGAGGGCCCAGTCAAGCTGTGTCTAAGCATGATCAGAGCAGGATGGCCGGTGTCTCTGGCACCCACTTGAAAGGAGGAACAAGAGTTTGCAGCCCTGGCGTATATCAAAACATCCTGGGGAACTTTCTGGAGCATCACCAGTGGCTCAGTTCCCTGCGTGATATTGTGACCTGTTGGAATTTGGGCACCAGACTCAAGAACGCTCTAAGGAGTATCCTGGGACATGCACCGCAGAGCACAGGGGGGCTGCAGGGAGTCCATTCTCGTCCCATCTAGAACATTCTGCTTTGTTCCAGTTCATACCAATCCTTACTCCTCAGTTCTAGTTCAGTCCAGTTTGTTCCAGTCAATCTCAGTTCATTTTGGGGTTTTCCAGTCAATTCCAATTTATTCCGATTACTTCCAAATCATTCCAGCCCATTCGAATCCAGTCTGGTCCAGTTTTTCCCATTCGTTTGAATCCAGTCTGGTCCGTTTTTTCCTGAGTTATTAGGAGGCACCCATTGGACAGTGTGAAGAGGGGATTTCTGATCCCGCCCCCAAGAATGTCCAGTTCCCAGGGGGACATGTGCGGCCACACGGAGCAGGGACAGGCCTTGGAGGAGGATGGGGACTGCTGGGGCTTGTGGATGAGGAGGGGTACGGGACACTTGGGAACAGATTTCATTACCCCCGCGGCCTGCCCACTGAGGGTCATCACAGACACCTCAGCTGCATGGGGCTGGGAGACCTTTCTTTGCACTGCCTCGCGGGCAGGACTGCCCAGGGCCTTCCATGCTGGGTGCCCCATAGCCTGTTTGGCCACGGATCGCTGAGAACTTGTGTTTTGTTTCTACCTGTTCTCCTTGCAAAAGAAGAGAGTGAAGGTGGGGCTAGCCCTGACTGCCCCAGCCATGTCCGGGGGTGCTGTGGGCCCTGTGGGGCTCTGTGCTCTCGCCATCCCCTCTCGGGAAAGTGGAAGCGGGTGAGAACAGGCACCTCGGGATGCGTTTCTTTGCCCTGCCTGAGGGATGCTCTGACCGGCCCCAGGGTCGGCCGTGGCTCCCCAACCAGGGAGCTGTGGGGGACACAGGTGTCAGAGAAGCCCCTCCAGGGAGGAAAGTGTGTGTCCTCTTCCCCTGGGTCCCAGTGCCCGGCTGGACCCCAGTCGTGAGGAAGAGGCCGCAGTACCAGGACCTCCCTCAGCCGGCACGGCTCGACTCCGCTCTGCTCTGTTCCTTCCCAGGGCTTGTCTCGTGGGCCCCAGCCTCCAACACAGAGGTGCCCCCTGTACCCTGCCTCCCCTGTTTCCTGAGGCCCCGTCATAAGCAGACTCAGCTCCCGCTAGGAGCAGGGGCACGTGGCTGGGCTTTCCCATGGGCTGCCATGCTCAGATGGTTTTATCGGGGCAGCAGAGTCTCCGTGTGGTTCTACTTGCTGGAAGAAGGATGGCGGCCCTAGGTGGGGGGCGTGACAGGTCCTAGCGAGGGGTCTTATTCCTTGATCCATCTTGTCTCCGAGGCTTCCTGTCACTGCTGCATCCTGGGGAGTAGGGGCGAGGCCGACTTCTCCGGGGCTCCCCGGTACCTTGGGAGGAGAGATCCCAAGTCCAGACGCCACAGGTGGCAGCCACGGGCACAACTGGAGGGTGCCCCTGCCCCGGCTCCCGTGGCGTGGCCTCCTCCACCGCTCCTTGGGCGAGCTTTTTCCTTCCATTGACGGTTCATCTCAAAGGACATTGACTCTTGGTCTGTTTGGGGGTGTGGGGCCCACATGAGGGTGTCGGCACTGTGTGATGTGGACTTTAGAGCTGACAGTCACCAGTCAATGTGGCTAAGAATCCTGACTCTTGAGATGGAGGGAGACTGGCAGAGAGAGGGGTTGGGTGTGTGCCCCGTGCCCTCCCAGCACCGCAGGGTCCCCCCCCCCGCCCCAGTACTGCCCGGTGCTATTCCAGTGGTCCCCTGCACAGCTGGAAGACCATAGAAAGCGGGCAGAAACAAATAAGAAATCCTAGTTCTTACATTTTGGGGGAGTGGTTGTGGCGGGGGAATCCTTAATCACAGTGCTCAGGGGCTGTTCCAAGGAACAGGGATCCCAGAGCACCTGCTTGGGACCATGCAGGGCCGGGGATCGAACCTGGGCCGGCCACCTCCAAGGCCAGCGCCGTCAGCCCCTCCTCATCTCTCCGGGTTTTGGATTTTCGAAACATTCCCAGGCTGCAGAGCAGAGATGCAGTAAAGGCGCTCAGCGATGTGGGCCTCCATGGCAGCTCTGGCCATGCTGGCTGTGGCGCCCAAACCAGCCCCAAACCACATGCTGTTCACAGGGCAGCCGGGTCAGTGTGGTTCTGGGGTTTGATGCTCTGCTCGGTTGAGGGGACGTTGCCCTCTCCCGGTACCCAGGTGCGCACTGAGAATCAGTAGCAGGGGTGCTGGAGGGGAGGGCGCTTGTTTTGCAGGAGGCCGACCCGGGTTCAATCCCCAGCATCCCATATGGTCCCCTGAGCACTGCCAGGAGGATTCCTGAGTGCAGAGCCAGGAGTAACCTCTGAGCATCACCGGGTATGACCCAAAAACCATTAAAAAAAGAATCCGTAGCAGAGTCCGGTCCCCCTTGCCCTGGTGTAAGCTCTATCCCTGCAACCCCCGGGTCTCCCCCTTTGTTTCTGCAGTCCCTGTTAAGGGGGTGCCTTTTAGAAATGTGGCCATCACTGCTTCCAAGCCTGTGAAGAGAAGTTAGAAGCTGCACATGCTCAGGCCTGAGTGAGGGCTGTGGCAGGCAGCCGCACTATCAGGTGGCGGCCTGATCCCCATCCTCTGCACCCCCAGAACCAACATTTCATTTCATTTTCTTTCAAGTTGTGGTTGTCCCAAGGACTAGAACGATTTTTATCCAGATCACGAGTGGATCAGTAAATCAGTGAAGAGCTTTCAAATCACGTGGAACTCGAGTTCTCCAACTTCAAGCTCTGAAAAATGTATCGTGCAGGTTCTCTTGCACAAGGCTCTGAACACAAAGCTGTGAGCACCCGCACCCCTCACTGTCTCGACTCAGTCGCCCCAGGATAAATGCCTTTGCCCTCCGCTTCTTTTTGCTCCTGAAGCTCCGGGGCTTCCTTCACAGGTGGAGTTGGGGGGAGGGGTTAAAAATCTTTCTACGTGTTTTGTTTTGGGGACCACAACTGGCGGTGCTCAAAGGTCACTGCCAGAGGTGCTGTTGGTGGGGACTGTGGTTCCAGGAATCAAAAAGTTGGGGGGCGGGGCTAAGGAATCATACAGTGGCCGGAGCATTTGCCCTGCATGCAGCCGACCTGGTTCGATCCCTGGCGTCCTATATGATCCCTCGAGCCCCGGCATCATCCCCAAATGCCGGGAGTCAGCCCTTGACACTTCCAGGTATGACCCAAGGACTGTAGCACTGTCCTCTAGCACTGTCCTCCCGTTGTTCATCGATTTGCTCGAGCGGGCCCAGTAACGTCTCCATCGTGAGACTTGTTGTTACTGTGTTTGGCATATCGAATACATCACAGGTAGCTTGCCAGGTTTTGCCGTGCGGGCAAGATACTCTTGGTAGCTTGCTGGGCTCTCCAAGAGGGGCGGAGGAATCCAGGTTGCCCCGATCAGCCACGTGCAAAGCAAACGCCCTACTTCTGTGCTATCATTCCAGTCCAAAGACAAAAACAAAAAATGACAATTTCTGGTATTGGACCAGGGAGGTGCCCCACGATGGGGCATATGTGGGGCCCAGGGTTAGATCTCCTGCCAAACAAACAAGTCCCCCCATTTATTTATTTATTTATGTATTTATGGCTGTTCCTGATGCCAGGGACTAACCCCAGGTCTCCTGTATGCAGAGCAGACAGTTGGTGCCTGGGGGCCTCCAGGTCTTTGCTTTATTAATAATAAAGGAATTCATCTTTTGTGGAGGGACAGTTGGGCCATACCTGGTGGTGCTCACGGCTGCTCCCAGCTCTGTAGTCAGGAGTGATCTTCAGTGGTACCCAGGGGACCTTGTGTGGTGCCCTGGATCCTGCCTGGGTCAGCTGTGTGCAAGGCAAGTGCCTGTCAGGAGTCCCAGCTCTCAGCCCCTGAATAACACATCATTGCAAGTGAACCTAGAAAACAGGGCTGTGTGCTGGAGCCATAGGTCACGGGACAGCAGGAGATGGCTTTCCTGCCCACCCAGATTTAATTCCTGGCATCCCATATGGTCCCGAGCATTGTCAGGAGTGATCCCTGAGTGCAGAGCCCGGAGTAAGCAGTGAGCATCGCCAGGTGTGGCCGAAAAACAAACAAGAAGAGAAAAAAGGGTCCCCACTACACTTATCCCACTCCCCAACCCTGCTGCAGGGGTGCTCCAGGCCACCCCCGCTCTCTTTCTGGGTGGGCTCAGACTGGGACATGCCCGGCCTGTGGCCTCGCTGCCTGGGCACGGGGGCTGCTGGCGTGCGCCTCACTGGTTCCTGTTCCCTCGTCCCGGCAGGTGGGCCTCATCCAGCTGGGGCAGGAGCAGGTGCTCATCCAGCCCCTCAACGGTTCCCGGGGCTCCCCCCACAGCGGTGAGCATCTGATCCGACGCCGATGGTCCTGGCTGTCCAGCCCGTCTGCCAAGGCCGGGGCATCCGGGCAGCTCTGCCAGGTGCTCACAGGTGAGCCCCCGACCCCCGTGGCCCCCCACGCCTGACGTCCTGGGAGCTCATTCTGCATCTTGAAAGCCGCTTTGCTCTTCATGTCCCTTAAGGCCACTTCCTTTTCTTTCTGTTGTCCAGGGACTCCTCATCTGTGGCAGTAGGTTCTTGGGAGCTGGTCTTTTAGCCGCTGTTCCCCAAAGTGGGTGCCCCTGCAAACACACACACGAACACACACACACATGCACATGCATGCACACACATGCACGCGCACACGCATGTGCACAGTTGCATACACACATGTACACAGCTGTGCACACGTGCACACACATGCATGCACACATGTACTCACACACGTGCATGCGCACATGCACATACGCATGTGCACACACACACACACACACACACACACATGCGAACACACAGATTGGGCAGAGGCCAGCAGCAGCCTCAGGTGCAGCTGGGCGGTGCTTTCTGTCTGCTCAGAGATGGAAGATTTTGGGGGAGGTGCTGAGTGATTCTTTTCTCAGAGAAGAGGGTGGGTGGGCGGGAGGCCAAACAAGTTTGGGCCTCTCTGGTTTAAGCCAAACACTGGGGTGCTGGGGTCCTGGGGTCCTGGGGCAAATCCTTGGGACGGTGATGTCTTCTTTGCCATCAGTTCTGGGATTTGGTTTCTGCCCGCCAGCGTGACCCCGGGTGACCCAGAGCGCAGGTCCCTGTCCACACCCTGTGGGTATAGGTGGCGCTGCTGGAAGGGGCCAAAATGCACGCACATGGGGCCGCCCTTGTGTCACAGGAGGAGGCTTGTTGGGGAGCAGCCCCAGTAGTGGAGAGGGATCAGGACGGGTGTGTCTCGGGCCCTGCGGCCTGTCTGATCCACCCCCAGTCCTGGCTGCTGGTCAGGGCAGCCCCCCAGCCTCTGCCCCACGCCCGCCGGTCACACAAGAACAGGGGAACGCTGGCTGATTTCCTTTTTGCCAGTGTAGGGGATGGACCCCGGGGCCCCACCTGCAGGGGGGCAGCTCCGCAGCCCAGGAGAGCTACTGAGCATCACAACCGCCCACCCTGATCTGAGGGGCAGCCTAGTGCTGACTGCTCCGAGGCTAATCCTGGGAAGTGGCTCAAGGCAGGACACCTGGGGCAATCAGCTCAGGGTCCCCTAGGGCCTTGCCTGGCCTTCTGGCTGGCCATCACTGTCCCTCTGTGGGGACACAGCCCCCGCCCCAGCTGCCCTCTGGCTTTTGCAGCAGAGAGTGATGTCCTTGGTGAGAGCGATGTCCTTGGCAAGCACGCAGGCGCATCTGGACGGGACCGGTTCTGGGCCTCTCCTCTGGCAGCCCTGTGCTCTGGCCGCAGGGCGGGCAGTCTCTGGTCTCCGTGGGAGAGAGGACGCCCTGAGCCCCTGTCAAGAGTTCTGCCCAGTTCCCCTGGGGACCTCAGCACCAGGCAGGGGCCTGTGCCGGCACTGTGCTGTTCTGCTTCAGGGTCTCATGTCACTCTTCCTGCTTCCTGCCCTTCTCACGCTCGCCTACGCCCCTCCGGCCTTGCTCCTCCCCCACCCTGCAGGGAGAGAGATCACCCATATTGGGTGTCCAGCACGCCCTCTCCGCACTGGGCAGCATCCCCACAGGGCTGCCCGCTGCTCGACCATCCCTGAGGACCCCGTTTCTTTCTCTGACACTCAGCCGGTGTGTGTGTGGGGGGAGGGGGCGGCACTTGGCTGGCCACAGGTGTCCGTGCATGGAGACGGCGGACGTGGGAGCGCTGAGAGCCCAGTCACTGCCATGCGGGATGTGGCGAGTCTGTCTCAGCCTCGGTGGCAAACACCACGGCAGCGACCCCCGTGCGACCCAGCAGTGCCAGACCTTGGCACCGGCCCAGGAGCAGCCACCCGCTTGCACTGAGACACGCTCGGCCCTGCGTGTTGCCTTGCCTGCCGGAGATCAGAACCCCAGCGCACTTGGTGGGGTGATCTCATGGAATGTCTGTCTAATTATCAGCCGTGCTGACTGGCAGTGATGGATGGTGCTCAGGATTGCGTCTCTGTCCCCAGGCGGGTTGGAGGGTCCCCAGGACGCCGAGCCAGGTGGGGAGTGGGTGACGGGGTGGGGTGGAGACACGCGCAGAGGCAACTGTGCCTGTGTGTTTGGGACACTCCCCGCCTCCTGCCCCCCAATCTCTCATCACTGCGGTGGAGGGGAACAATGGGCACATGGAAGGTGGAAGCCACGTGGGTTCTTTCTCTGGCCTCTGGGGAAACACTCTGCTTTGCTGCTGGGTGGCAGAAAGACGACGGGTGCTCTCGTGGGCCCAGCCCTAAGCGGAGGCTCAGCAGCAGACACGGCGGGCGTGGGAACTGGCAGCATTTACTGGGAGACCACAAAGCCCCGGGGAAAGGGACCAGCCTCATCCGGGGTTGCCAGAGGACACGCCCTAGATGATAGGGCTTAACGGCCACCTGTGTCCCCACCCCCTTGTGTTCTGCTGTCTGGCGTCCCCTCCTGCCCTGGGCAGCAGGAGTGACCTGCTGGCACCCGCAGTCATGGAGGAGCCCGACCTCGTTTCCTTCCTCCCCCACGTGCCCTGGTCTCTGCTCCCGTCTGCCCCAGGTTGGGGGTTGGTGCGGACCCACCCAGGGCCGTGTGGATGGTCCCTGCTCCCCTCGGGGTCCTCAGGACTCCCCCCAGGCGGCTTGGCCTGCTCGGCTTCTTCTCATACCCTGCAGTTTTAGGGCCTTATAAACAGATTCATAAAATGTCACTCCAGGTTGGAACTTGGCTTGAAAATATAGAGGCCAAAAGCTCTTTCCTTCTCTGTCTCTCTTTCTGTGTCTCATTTTTTAAAGATTGTTGGTTACTTTTAACAACTAACATGGTACTTTGAATAGGGCTGGAGTGATAGTACAGCAAGGAGGGCGTTTGCCTTGCATGTGGCCGACTTGGGTTCGATCCTGGGCATCCCATAGGGTCTCCTAAGCCCTGCCAGGAGTGATTCATGAGTGCAGAGCCAGGAGTAAGCCCTTAGCATCGCCAAGGGTGACCCCAAAAGAAAAAAGGTGTTTGGAATTGTTTCTTGATTTGAGGAGGGGTGGGGGTGTGGTGGTGGTGCTGGGGCTGTATCTGGCTGTGCTTGGGGGATACTCCTGGCTGTGTGCTTCAGGTTCATTCCTGGATGTGATCAGGGGACTATCTGGGGTGGAGATTGAACTGGGGCGTTGACCTCATGCAAAGCAAGCGCTTTAACCCCTTAACTATCTCTCTAGTCCCTGATTTTAGTTTTTGAGCCCCACCCAGTGATGCTCTTGGCTTACTACTGGCTCTGCACTCAGGAATCACTCCCAGCGGTGCTCGGGGGACCGTCTGGGATGCTGGGGGTCAAACGCAGGTTGGCCTTGTTCAAGGCAAGTGCCTTCCCCGCTGTACTCTCTCCAGCCCCTGTTTCTTGTTTTTTAAGTGGTTCTGTTGACTTCAGAACTTTTTGTCTTCTTTGCTTATTTTACTTTCTCCACTGAGCTTCCTTTTCGAATTTTCCCACTACTGTTTTCCTGGTGTGTGTGGTAATTGGGGTCTCTTGGTTCACCCCCAGCTCCCGTGGATACATGTGGAGGTGGGGGCTAGGACAATAAAGCTGGTCGACCAGGGGGCACTGCCAAGTGTCTCGGCAGACACGGACGTGCCGCAGAGCTGGGCCGGAAGTGTTTCTGTCTAACTTGAAGTTCTGTGGTGGGCTGGCTCCTGGGCTGACGCATTGCGACGGCAGAGCATGTCCTAGGCAGCTGCCTGAGTGGGTCTGAGGGGGAACACGGAGCGGAGTCTGGGTGCCATCCTCGGCACCCGGAGTCCCAGTGAGAAGGAACGGCTCAACAGGGCTGTTCTCAAGCCAAGACTCGGTTGGAATTTGTAGCGATTTGCACTCATCTGGTGGGAAATCCAAGTGGCCCAAGCACTGAGCATTCTGGTGGGCTCGTGGGATCTCGGGACCCCTCTGTCCTCTCGGGGGTTTGCTCGGCAGTGGCCACCAATTCCAGCGACTTAAGGGTGGTCCTGGTCGGCTGAAGGGCAACTCTGATTCCTGATTGCCGCTGGTTTCCGGTGAGTCTCAGGCCTCACCTCGGTCCTTCCCATGACCACCAGGGTGGTCAGTTGAAGCCACTTCCGGTCCTGTGGCCGGGCCCATCTGTTCCGATTCTGCTGGTCCTGTCTCGGCCCTGACGGCCTCTGTCTCGGACACTGTTAGATAGTCCCCAGGTCAGTGGGACCCCGAAGTGGAAAGGCGAGTCATCAGGGGCTACCTGCATTCGTTCCTGTGGCCTTGGCCCCTTGTCTCACCCCCGCTGACCCCCACTGTCCCCATCTCCTTGTTGCCCCTGTAATCCTCCTTTCTCCCCCGGCCCGTGCCCCCCATGCCCTGTGCCCAGGCCCCTGCCCCCACCTCTCACCTAGAAAACCATGTTCTGAGGCCGGCGTGTGGGCCCTGGCATGGATCATCCATTCCCAGGCTGACGGGGACGCTGGGAGCTCACACTGGAGGTGCCTGGCATCCCGCACTGTCCATCTGTCCGTCTCTCAGCACACTGTGCTGGCTGTCCGCTGGGCAGTCTGAGCACACTTTGTCCATCTGTCTGAGTATACTTTTCTGTGTGTCCAGTCATCTGAGGGCATTTTCTGTTTGTTTGTCTGTCTGAGGGCATTTTCTGTCTTTTCCATCTGGACGCTTTTCTGTCTGTCCATCTGTCTGAGTGCATTTTCTGTCTGTCCATCTGTCCGTGTACCTGCCCCTCCCCCAGTGGGCAGGGCGGGCGGAAGAGAAGCCCATCTGCTCCTGTTCCCACAGCCCAGCCCTCTAGTATGTGGGAGCCCAGAGGCCTTCCAGGAAAGCGGGGTGGGGGGGGATGGGAGGGGTCTGTGCCCAGAGCACAGAGGGGTCAGGAATGCAGAGTTCATTCTTCAGCCTGGTGACTCCTGGAGGCAGGGAGGGTGACCCCCAAGCGTGTGCTTCAGGGGCTGCTGTCGTGAGTGCCAGGAAATGTGGGTGGAGG